CCTCTTGGGGCCTTCAGCCTATTCGGGCCGCTCGTTGGGCCTACGGTCTATCCGGTCCACCCTGGGTATGTTAGCCTACACCACAAAGCAGAACCCGCCTCAACCCAACCCCGGTTAAACAACCATGTGCACATAAAACAGTTGATCACATAACAATCCTCATCCAAACAAACAGTTCTATCAGATCATACAACATAACAACATCCTAAGCAAGATACCGACCTAACCGGTCACTAACATAACCTTACCCTATATACCAGGATACCGACCTTAACCATGTCACTAACATAATACCATCCTAATTACTAGGATGCAGATCTAGCAAATCAATAACATATCAAACAAATACCCGGATTGCCATCCGATAAAGGGCCGACCTTGGTGCCTTAGACCCTGTTGATATAGTGAGGATAACTCACTTGCAACTGCCGAACCGAACCACGAAAGCAAAATCCCAAAGCACTGCCTCCAACTCCAAAACCTATAACCATCAATAATCCATTGACATAAATATCCAAATTACCATAATACCCTTGAAGGTCAAATTGGTCAAAGTTAAAGTCCTGGATTAAGTCAACCTTCGTGATTGACTCTACTCGCCAAGTCAACCCATTGACTCGTCGAGTTCTTAAACTCAGAAAACTCTCATATCATGACTCGACTTGCCGAGTCACCTCATGACTCGTCGATTTCAACAATCTCCGAGTCCTATCCTATCAAACTCACTGAGTCACCACTCAACTCACTGCTCTGAGTCCTAACCATAAGAGGTTGGGGGTTTTGCGTTGTGACTAGCCGAGTCCACGACAATCTTCATCAGACTCGCCGAGTTGTTCTTCCAACTTGTCGAGTCCAAGCTTATCATCATATGACTCGCCGAGTCCATCCATGCGACTTGCCGATTCTTTTCAGTCCTTCATCCATACATACCCTTTTTGAGCCATACAGGGGCTCCAAACTGTAGATCCATCCTTCTAGGGCATGTCTCTTACGTAAAGTCGCCAACTTTACGTGAAAACAAGGAGATATAGGCTCAAATCATCCTTGGGCTAAGGTTTAAGGCAAAGATGCTTCACCAACAAACCAAGGGCTGATACTTTATGAGTTTCTGGACCAAGACAAGTCTAGATTTAAAGTAGCAACCTCAGATCTAGCCCCCTAACCCGAAATAGATCCTTAACATGCCAAAATGGCCCCAAATCTCATTCAAGAATAGATCTAGATGCAAAGGAGTCAAGGTAACAGCTTGTTACCTCCACAATGCGCCTAAGCTGAAGTAGTTGCTGGATCTATACTAAACCCTTGATACTAGCCTCTTGTTCTTCAAGCTCCCTCCTCAATATTCCTCCTCCAAAGCTCAAATCTCTTTAACAATGGAAGCTCTTACTATTTTAGGGTTCACTGACTCTCAAGGGCAATAAGGAGGCGGAGGAGAGGACATTAAGTCCTTTAAATAGGATGCATACCCTAAGATTAGGGTTTTCTATTCCCATCATCAACTCGTCGAGTCCAGCTGCCGACTCGGCGGGTTGGTCACTTAACTCGCGACCAAATCCCGCTTCGACTCGACGAGTAGCCGCATCTACTCGTCGAGTATCTCCCTTAATGTACACTTTAGACCCTTCAATCGTACTTCTAAAATTTGGGATGTTACATGGGGTTTATGTCACCCCAAAATACCTCATACCATACATACAATGGGCCTTGCTCGACAAATATCGGGCCCCGACCGGAACATATCTGTCAGTGACATGTGATGGGCCCCGCCCAATACACTCATCAGGCCTCGCCCAATATACATACAAACACATACAATACATGCAATATTCACAAAGACAACTAGCATACTATAACATAATCCAATGGGCCAACATTGGTGGCTTCAACCTGCAAGTACAGTGACAACTAGAATACTATAACACAAACATCAGGCCCCGCCTGGCATCGGGTCCTGCCCGATATACATAAAAACACATACAATACATGCTAGAGTCACAAAGACAACTAGCATAACAGATCCTAGTGGGCCGACATTGGTGCCTTCGACCCACAGGTATAGTGAGGAGACTCACCTGAATCACAAAGCCGACTAACACTCAACTCAAAACTGTCGACCATAGCTAACTGCTTTCTTGCCAAAATATGGGTGCTTAACATATCCTATCAATCCACAAAAAGGTAAATCCTAAGTCTACCTTCTAAAAATAGAATTTGACCAGAAGTCAAACTGGTCAAAAAGTCAACAATCAATAGTCAAAGTCAAACAGTCAACATGCAGACCATTGCCATGACATGACCTTCCTTAGCCACACAAAACAGTCAAGGTTTCAAACTCCGCCACACCGTGGTCACCTTTGTCACATCGTGGGAAACTTTCTGAAGTGTCATTTGTCACTAAGCACTTAATCCTTACAGATCTAAATCCAAAACTTAAGATCTACTCATACTTAATGACTTAATGGATAAAGGTTCCAACTTTATCCATTAGGACTTCATCCAAAGGCAAAATCTTGAGCCCTAAGTTCAATAAGCACTTAATATGACCAAAACTCAAACATGGGGTCAAGAACACTCAAGCTAAGACATTTTTCTCACTAACATTAGAAGTTCATGACCATGAGAGAACCATATCAAGTTCTGGAGTTCCTCAAACTCCAAGAGCATCCAAGAATGGGACCAAAACATCCAAAAATGGGCTCAAACATCAAACAAGAAACACAATGGTCAAGATATGAACTTTATACCTCCAATAACTCATAAATGTGGAGGAGATGTTGGATCAAAGCTTATTCCTTGCTTCCTTACACCAAGATTAACTAATTTCTTCTTCAAGTGTCACCAAAAGAGGACATTAACCTCAAGATCAAACCACCAAGCTCTTTTCAGTGGAAGAGAGGTTAGAGTTTCGAAATGAAGGGATGGAGGCTGAAGAAGATGACCTAGAATGGGGGTTAAGATGCTTAAATATGGGAGCAACCCTAGAAATACGTGGGCTTGGGCTTGGGCTTGAACAGCTGCCACTCTGTGGTGGACTTACGCCACATTGTGGTGGCTCCATAAAACGCGTGACCCTTTCCAACATGATCACGTCGTGGTACAAAGTTTTCTTCAAAAACAAAAATTCATCTTTAGTCTTAGACGACAAAAGGCTTAACCAATCTGGAACGCGGATATTACAGCTGTGCCATATACACAATCTGAAATGCTCTCTTTAATGGCCTATTCGGAGACAATGGTTATTTTACACAATATATATATATATATATATATATATATATATATATATATATATATATATATATATATATATATATATATATATATATATAAGTTATTTTTAAAAAATAAATAAATAATAAACGCAATAAAACTGTTAGATTACTCGATTTCCCACTGAATTATCTTTCCCGCTAAATTATCTATCCAGTTGTTCATTACTTAGCTAAGGTGTTGTTTGTTTTTTGGAAAAAACCTCTTCAAACCTCTTACTGCTGCGTGGCGCAGCACACGCGCAACACTTTTCATCTCGCAGCTGTTTGTTTTTTAGAAGTCTTCTGAATCAAAAACCTCTGTGCAAGCTCTGTTTGGCGCAACACTTGTACTGCCTCTTCTAACTTCTTCTAACCTCTTCTTCTTCTTTTTTTATTGCTGAAATTTTGATTATATGTTATTAAAATTTTATTTCACATTTTATTTCCGTTTTTTTTTCGTTTATTCTTATTGAATTTATTTTTCATTTTTTTATATTCAATAATGATAATTTCTTGATGAAATATCATTATTTTTTACTAAAATATTTTTATTTTTTGTTGAAATATCATTCTTTTTTACTGAAATATCATTAATTTTTACCGAAATGTTATACATTATTAAATTTTACGTATTAAAAAGCTATTTTCTGTTTATAAAATTAGTTTATTTTAATTTTTTAATATCTGCAGCAGTATGCAGACGTTAAAAAAACAAACACGCTTCTTATTATAGTCTGCAGCCGTTTTGTCCACCTCTTCTACTGCAGAGGGTTGCAGAGGTGATCCGCAGACTTTATGAATTTTTGCTTCAGAAAATCAAACAGCACCTAAGTTATTCAATATGATTTTGCCACGTAAAATATTCGAAAAATGATTCTTTTTAACTCATCTGAGCATATATTTTCTCGTGAAAATAAAATAAAGTTCAATTTAACAGTTCTGGCTTAAAAATCTTAACAACCCCTTTGCGATCCGTGCACCCAGTATCATGTATCGCTATTGAGAATTAAAAACAAAGCGTTTCACATTTGTGTAAACTGTAAGGATGGCATTACACGTGGAGCAAAACTAGTGGTCCACTAAAGATGAGGTTCAATCCATGTAATCTATTTTATGTGGTTGCATCGCATATAATTCAATAAACCAATCATAAATCATATATACTTTTATATAAAAACACAAACTGAAACCCTCAATTTTTGAATTGAGGTCTCCATTTCTGCACCTTGAAGTTCCTGCAAATCAAGAGAAGAAGAAGAAGAAGAATACGAAGATGGCATCCATTTCCGCTTCCATTTCTACCTCCTCACCTTCATTCTCTCTTCTCCAAAAACCTTCAATCACTACCCGCAGTTCCCCCATCCTCGGTACGTTCTAAACTAAGTGAGTTTTATCATCAAGCACCATCAGAATCCAATGCTAATTGTGAATTAATTGTCTTATAAATGATAGATGGATGAATCTTATCAGCTATCATTAATGATTAACCACCCATAGTTTCTGATTCTCGTTATGTTTTAGATCTGATGTTATTTGTGTACAAATGATTGTGAAATTGATAGACATGTAGGTATTAACATTGGAGGTGAAATACCAAGAAACTAATTGGTTGATGATCCGGAACTATCAGAAAAATTGTCACTGAGTCTAGTAGTTTATAGAGTTATAGTAACATATTACTTGTTTTGTTCAATTCCGATTAATTTGACACCTAAGAATCTAAAATCCTTGAAAAGATTTGAGTTTTCTCGAACACTAAAAAAATGCTTATTGAGATAAGAAAATAGAAATAGAGTAAACGACATAAGTTGTCCTCGTAGTTTAGGGTATATTGCAAGTTTAGTACCTAACTAATAAAAGTTGTTAATACCGATTAGGGTTGCCATCAATGAGCAAGATGGGAAAAGTGAGGTGCTCCATGGAAGGAAAGCCAGCTGTCGCATCCAATGATGTTCCACACAAATTGAGTATGGGCGCATCATCATTGATGGCTGCAGCAGTAGCTGCAACCATGTCGAGCCCAGCTGCCATGGCACTAGTGGACGAGAGAATGAGCACAGAAGGAACTGGACTGCCCTTTGGTCTAAGCAACAACCTTCTCGGGTGGATTCTTTTTGGCGTATTTGGTTTGATTTGGACACTTTACTTTGTGTACACCGGTAGCCTTGACGAGGATGAGGAGTCTGGTTTATCCCTTTAAACTTTCTTCCCTAAATTGACAATGTGCGTATTGTAATGGACTTATGTGTAATATTATTCATGTATCCTCTCTGTACACTTTGATCGTGGAGTATTTGTGTTTATGAAAATTGCACTTTTGTCCTTGTAGATTTAAACTTTGACATATTTCTTGTAAAGTTTAATTTCGTTTTCTTTATGCAGATATTCTGGAAGAAAATATTCTATTTCAGATATTTTGTTAAATATTTTGTTTAATCATAAGATAACCATGCTTTAAAGATAACCATGCTTTAAAATCCAGACCTTAAATTGTTTCAAAAAGGTTAATGGTTTTTTTTTGAAGAAAAAATATTTTATATAGTGTATTGTAATTATGTCATTACCTAATTGAAAAATGCTCACGAATGAGTCGTGAATTTGGATGTATTCTCTAACTAGGTATAAAACCTGTATGTTATACGGGTTGATTAAAAAAAATATATTAAAATATAATAATAAGTACTTTTAAAAATAAAATTTTGAAATAAGAAATAAAAAAAACATATTAAATGCAATTTAGTATAATATTTATTACATTTTATACTTTCCATATATATAAGTATAAGTATTATGTGGCTTTTAAATTTTTAAAATTGAAAAAAACCATAAATTGACGTGTGAATATTATTTATTTAAAAAATATCACAAATTAAAGTATCAAAACTTATTAGACATTGACATGTACTAAAATTATCATTTATTATAGACTAAACTGCACAAATGGTCCCTGTGGTATGTCGAAAATTACCACTTTGGTCCAAAAAAGTTTGGACTAACACCAGAGGTCCAAAGTTTTCATTTTGTTGCTTGTTTGGTCCAATTTATTTTAAACTTTTTTAAAATACCAATTTTGCCCTTTGTATTTTCTTTTTCTATTTATTTGTATTACAATAATTAAAAAGAAAAGAAAAAAACTCACCTGCATCACTACCCAACCCCTCCCTGCACTTCCCCTTCTCTTCTCTCTCTCTCTCTCTCTCTCTCTCTCTGTGAATTTTCACAAAACGAAACTAACGTCACCACCAACTTCCGGCGAATGGGGGTTCCGACCACCATAGATTATTCCCGATCGGAGTAACACCACCTCTCCATTTCTTTATCTCTCTCAACAACATTATAACTCGATGAAGATAGTAATCCAAAGAACAGATGGTTTGGTCGGAGAAAGAATTTAGTTAGAAACAGAGGTTGGGACATACTAAAGAAGACGAAGGGCAGCGAAGACGTGAAAACCCAGATCGAAGTCGAAGGTGGCTTCATCCTTCAGTAGTTCCAGTCGAAGGTGGCTTCATCCTTCAGTAGTTCCGATTTGAAAACCTAGATACACATCATCGTCTTCACACATCGATGGCGCCTTCATCTGGAAACTCGAGCCACAAACTCCGCCTTCGTTTCTCTCTCTTCTTCGGTGAGTCTCGTCCTTATCATATCCTTCTTCTTCTTCTTCGGCGAAAACCATCTATCGTCGACATCCTTCTTCGTCGAAAACCCTAATCTAGATGAGATAAGGTAGAGGTGCTAGGGTTTCGGAAATTATTGATGGTTTTTATCAAAAATTGGGTTTACAGAGATGGTTTCCCGACGGAGAAGAGGAACTAAGCAGGTGAAAAGATGGTCATCGGTGGTAGTAATCGATTATGGTTTGTTGTTTGTAATGTCGGCTTTCAGATTTGCCAGAGGTTGATGGTGGTGGAGACGATAGGGGTTGAAGGTGGTGGTGACTGACGGCGACGACGGTGGTGTAGTCGGTGATGAAGGGTTCGTGAGAATTACAAAGAACAAACGAAAATGGAAGAAGAGAGAGGGGAGAGAGAGAGAGAGAGAGAGAGAGAGAGAGAGAGAGAGGAGAAAGAGACATTTATTTTTATTTTTATTTTATTTTTTTGAGTAAATTACACGAATGGTCCCTATGGTTTAGGGTAATTTGCACGTTTGGTCCCTAACTTATTTTTTTAACTCGGAAAGTCCCTACTGTTTGTTTTTGTTACACGCTTGGTCCCTATCTTACCTAAAAAAACTATTTTGCGCTTGATTTTTTAATTTATTTAAATAAACATACTCTCAACCCCACTCCACTCACCTTACCCTACCTATCCCATCATCTTTCCCTAATCAAATAATAGTCTTTTTAGGTAAGATAGGGAGCAAACGCGTAACAAAAACAAATAGAAGGGACCAAACACGTAACAAAAACAAACAGTAAGGACCTTCCGAGTTAAAAAAATAAGTTAGGGACCAAACGTGCAAATTACCCAAACCATAGGGACCATTCGTGTAATTTACTCTATTTTTTTTAATCTAAAAACTAGAAAAGCAAATAAGAAAAAGGGAAAATCATATTAATAGGGGCAAATTCGTCATTTTATAAAAAATCAGAACATACTGGACCAAAAACGCAACAAAATGAAAGTTTTGGATCACTGGTGCTAGTCCAAACTTTTTTGGACCAAAGTGGCAATTTTCGACGTACCACAGGGACCATTTGTGCAGTTTAGTCTTTATTATAGTATATTAGCGGAAAATATTAGTTAGTATTTTTATAATGAAATGTATTTGTGTGAGAAATAACAATGTTGGAACCTTAACCCACCACTATAAAGTTGTCTTCATGAAAATTTAATAAAATATGTAGCGGCGTAACCACGATTTTGTTTTAGGGTAAGTCAAATAATATACAAAATATGAAAATGATAACAAAATAAATATATATGCATTCTTAACTAGGTTGTTTATTTAAGTTGCACATGATGTTTTACAACAATCTATTCCCTTCTACTAATTTTAAGTTTTAAAGGGAATAGACCATATAATAACCCTAAATCTTTTTATTTATATATATATATATATATATATATATATATATATATATATATATATATATATATATATATATATATATATATATATATATATATATATATATATATATAACCTTAATTTTGTGTGGATTTGCTATGGATTGGCTAAGCACCTGAACATATATATGTTAGCTTAGCTGTTTAATTTTTTAACTTTCTATTGTGTAAGTTTGACTTTCTTCCCCAAGTGTTTTCTTGCACAATTCTTTTATAATGGTTTAATAATAAAATAGGGTTTAGTGGAATCATGTGTTTCTGTAAAGAGTATCACCTTTCCCACTGGACCTAAGTTTAATTTGCATAATAACTAAATAAATAAATAAATAAATACAACCTCTATGAATATTAATAAACGAACGAGGTATTGTATCAAAAATAGTAAAATCTTTTGTGAGTAGACCTATTCACCAATTTAGCGAACCCATTTATTTGATGGTATATATTTATATTTGAAAAACATGGTATTTGGAAAAATAAATAATCTCAGATATTGTCATTTATAGTGAATAACTATTGTTCTATTTAGCAATTTAAAGTATTGTTTTGATATTAATACTTTTATTACTCAATATAATGATTATTTTTAATATTAACAAAAAAATAAGATGGCATTCGACTCGATACAACCACCAGCCTTCTTTTGACTCTTTCTCTTACACAATAGGCAAAAAGTAGATCCAGTCAACTTGGTCACAAGTTCTTGTACCACTTTAGTAATACATCAATACTTCGTAGATAGTAAATTATATTATATAGAGACATGGAACTATATACAATTATTGCGAAACCTAAATATGATTATAACCCAACATATATTATATAGAGACATGGAACTATATACAATGAGAGCAAAACCAAAAAATGATTATAATGTTTATTTTGGGGGGACATCTTCAACTTATAATACTTTATTAAAATTTTCAAACAATCTTTATAAAATACAAAAACCGAAAGAATGACGATCACACACACCATCCGTATCGTCATTGTAGTATGCATATATTATGACTTGACAAACTTTTTAAGACTACTTTAGACGATGAAAATGAAAATGACATTCATGTCTTTTACACATACAAGAAATCGAGAGTGATTATTTGTCACACCTTTTTCCAATTTCTCGAATTTATGAAGCAAATGATGGTTGATGTAGTTGCATAAAGAGACTTGTCTACCTGCTTGTGAAACAATGGGTTCAACCACTGTTATATGCATCGTTAAAACAGTGTATGTCGTGGACATGGAGAAATTGAAACGAAGTTGCACTGTTCTTCATCTTGAGATTGTACAACTTCGTTTCAAAACCTCCATGTCCACCACATAACTATTTTATCGGTGCATATAACAACGGTTGAACCCATAGTCCCACAAGCAGGTAGACAATTCCCTTATCACAATTCACTCATCATCTCCTTCATAAAACAAGTGCCCCACCACCATTGAACTTGTGAAAGATCCCCCGGAATTTGCCTTTAATCAAATCGGTCACCATGAATAAAGCCGATATTACCATCTCATAACCGAAAACTATACTAAGCTTTTTGGGAATGTGGGTAATTGGTTTGCACAATGTTTTGGTGGGAAATGAAATTTGTAAATGAGTAGAACGAATCTTCTAGGAATTGAATCTTGTCACGTGATTGAATAGAATTCAATTCATTCCCTATGTGTAAGTTTCTGTTTGGTTTGTAAATCTGTCAATTTCATGCACTTTTAACAACCAAACATGGGAATTAATGGAATCGAACAAATCCCACAGAATCTAACGAACCAAACACACCCAAAATGTTGTTGTGCTTATGTTATCTAGCAATATGTAGCTCTAATGTCACATTGTGACTGGTTTTTTTTTGGGAAGTTTTCTTTACAGATTTAGAAAACCAGAAGAGAAAGAAAGAGAGAGATGCAAAAAGAAGGCCGAGTTTAGAGAGATTTTTTTTAGAGAGATGAAATGAAAGTTTATACTCGAAATGAATCCTCGTTACGTCCTTTTATAGGTCTCAAATAAGTCTTAATGAAGTTGCCTAGAAGTTGCTCCAAGATTAGTTTATAACTCTAGTCTATACATCTCTGTTAAATACTTTATTTTATTAGTTGATTACCAATCGAACGAATGATTTAGGAAACAGGCAGGAACTTACTGGCATCATATCATATTTTTGTACACAAAATAGCATATAATGACACTACATATTGACCCCAAATGCAAAAAGTCAATGGTCCCAAAAGTCATTAATTCAACTTGAATTCATCTCCATGTTCGAAGACCTCCAAAACCATAATAGTTGGGATAATAGTTTTTATAAAAAAAATCCAATCAAAAGGCTTACAATAATAGAAGCCGTTAGAATAAGAAAAAGTCAAATCGTAT